TGGGAGGCAGACTTAGGGACTTGGAGAGCCCTAACAACTCCAGGTATCACCGGGTCACCAGCGCTCGGAGCCTGCTCCTTGCCCACGAGATCCCTCTCCGGAGGCCCTTCAGCTCCAGACCGAGCCCTACTGCGTTCCTGGCCTTGCTCCCCGACTTGCGCCTCCAGTGTTTCCTTCCTCATCAAAGGACCCAGGGGCTCCTTCCAAAAGGCACCTCTCTGGGCCTCGTCCCTGCCGCTTCCATTATAACCATGGCTGAACCCTGGACCCTCTCCTTTCAAAATGCCCCTCAACCAATCCACATCTCTCCAGGTCCGCTGGCACCTCGTCTCACCCCCCAGCCACCTTCATCACGCAGGGGTAGAGGATAAAGTCACGGACCCCCCTGTGCCCAGGGAGGGAGCTCCCCGAGTTCCTCCACGGTCTGTGGAGCAGCAGGGCTCGGCTTGCCCAGGGCTTTGCCAGTTCTGCAAGGCTAGCGGCCACGAGCTCCTCCACGTTGGGTCTTAGTGCTGGAAGAAATGACTGTGTGCTTTGTCTGTCCCAGTGGACAGCCACCACCTGCCTGGCACAGCCACCAGGCACAGCTGAAAAGTAAATTAGCCACACTAATGAGAATGACCATCTGTGAATCCATCAAATCAGTCAGAAGCAGGCGAAATCGCAGACACACCAAATCCATGTTGGCAAACCAGGCCTGTGAGTTATGGAGCACACCAGACCACCAAGGATGCACCCCCAGACCCCCAAGAGGAGGGGCACCTGGCATAGAGCCCTTCAGGAACCTGAGCCACCTTGGCAGGACCAGGCCGGTTTCCCTCACAGACACGCAACACATGCGCTTGACTACTGCACCCTCTCCAGGTAGCTATGGCGTCTGTCCCTCAGATGGTCCAGCTGCCTGGACCCTATCACCTGGTCATTCGTCTTGAGCGAGTGAACCACAGCCAGGAACCTCAGGACCTCTGCTTTAGCAAAACGTGGTTTCTCCTGTCTGTGACAATCACAGAAGTCCCACTCCTCAGGCTGACACTGTGAAATTGCCCTGTCTGGACCTTGGCCTGGAAGAAGTCCTGTGCTTTGGTGGCTCTGTGCCCTGCAGAAGTACCTTGGCCGGTCCTAACCATGTCACCACCTGCAGTGACCCTGTGCCTTCATATCTGCTCTCTGCTCTGCTGTCAGTCCAGCCTGCCACACCCTGGGGCTGCCTGGCCCTTTCCCAGCCTTGCTGTGACCACATATGTACCTGTGTCAAGTCTGATTGTGGCTGGAGTGTCACAGATATTAGGAAGCAAGACTGGTATGAAAGGACCGGTGATGGCCCAGCTCAGGCCTGCCAGGTGACTCACCAGTGTTCAGTGACCTGCCAATGAGGAAAGAGGCTCAGCCTGCGAATGTGTTGCTGACACTGAACACGACATTGTGACATTGCGCACAGCCACAGTGTTTGGCCTGCGTTGAAGGCACAGCGCTCAGGATGCCATGCAGGAGGCCCCTCCCTGCACTGACAGAGCTGCCTCTCCAGCCCTCCGGCATGGAGGACTATCCCCAGGACCAAGCAGGTCTTCTCTGGCTGCCCGGGGCTGGATGGGCTCCCCGCCCAGCTCCCTCTGTACGCTGTCATAACTGCCATTAAAGACTCGCCTGTGTGATTCTGTAGGAATTTGCCTACTATCGAGCTGTAAGTGCCGGAGGGCAGAGGTCATCTCTGTTTGTTTATCACTGTCTGGGCCCTTACGGGTGCCTGGCATAGAGCCCTTCAGGAACCTGGGCCACATTGGCAGGACGAGCCCAGGTTCCCTCACAGACACCAGACACATGTACTTGACTCCTGCACCCTCTCCAGGTAGCTACAGCGTCTGTCCCTCAGATGGTCCAGCTGCCTTCTTCTGAACTTACACCATTGATCAGGGCAGCAGGACAGTAAGTATAGACTCACATTGTTTAGCAAAAAAGGACCTGTTCTTAGTAGTTCACTGGGTGTGGGGTGTGGTGGCCATGCCTGTGATTCCAGCAGCTTGGGAGGCTGAGGAGCAAACCGACACGAGATTCACTCAGGCAGGGACCGAGTGAGGGGGCCTGGGCTGCTGCCCCTCAAGGGCCTTGGTTCTAAGCAGGAGCACACGGCCCCGCGGCACAGCAGGTGTGGAGCCCATGTACTGTGCACACTGCCCTGCTGTCCTGGACTGACGGGCGGCCTCTCCCGGGCATGCGGGGACACACGCACTGCCACCTCGCTGTCCCAGGCAATAGGAGTCTCAGCCCTCTAGGGTCTGCTGGGACTGCGTTCCAGGGTGCCTGCTGACCGCACTGCCATGAAGGGGCACCCACAGTGTCAGCATGAGGCCAGGTTGCAAAGGCTAGTGGCCCGTATTTCCCTGAAAAAGATTATGCTTGGGCCACAGAACCACTGGCCTCACCAGCCGTCCCTTGTGGAATTCCTGCTGTGCCCGCTCCCTGCCGTCTCTTTCAGCTTTATCGGATTCACAGGAACTTTTTTCTTTTTTTTCCTTTTCTTTTGTACCAGGGATTGAACCCTGGGGCACTTAACCACTGAGCCATGTCCCCAGCCTTTTTTATTTTTATTTAGGGACAGGGTCTCACTAAGTTGCAGAGGCTGGATTTGAACTTGTGGTCCTCCTGCCTCAGCCTCCTGGGCTGCTGGGATGACAGGCGTGCGCCCTGGGCCTGGCTGTGTATATACACACCACTTAACCGCTGCTCTTTGTTTGCTTTGTTTTTCCCTTTTGTGGCACCAGAGGCAAGCACTCTACCACTGTGCGAGGCCCTAGCTGTTTATATTTTGAGACAACGTCTGGTTAATTTGCCCAAATTGACCTTGAACTTGTTATCCTCCAGCTCAGCCTCCTGACTAGCTGGGAATGCAGGTGTGCAGTGCTGTGCACCACTGTGTACACCATGCACCACTGTGTATACTGGGGACCACTGTGCCCAGCTATCTTAGCCATTTTCAGTGACAGTTCATAGGCACTAAGCACAGCCACAGAGGTGAGCAGCCATCACCACTGCCTATTCCCGCACCTCACCCTCTTCCCACCTCCGTGCCCATTTAAACATCACTCTTCATTTTCTCTTCCCCCAGTCCCTGGAAGCTCTTCCCTCATTCTGTGAATCTGGTTGGACTAGGCACCTTAATTAAGTGGAATCATACCTCATTTATTTTTTCATGATGCTCTTTTTTCCCACTAAGTACAGTATCTTCAAGTTTATGAATGTTTAGCATCAAGGCTGCGTAATATTCCACTATGTGTATGTACCACATTCGGATGATCCATTCATCTTCTGATGGGTGTTGGGCGTAGTGAGTCATGCTGCCGTAAACACCGGCATACACATGATGTGTTTGAGTCCCTGCTTGCAACTGTTTGATTTATAACAACTAAAATTGCTGGATTGTGTGGTGAGTCTGGGATTAACCTCTGGAGAAAGCACCGAACTATTTTCCATAGCAGCTGCTGCCCCTGTGCATGATCACCAGCAATGAACAAAGGCTGGGATTTCTCAGTGCCCTCCACTACTGCTCTTATTTTCTGTGTTGTATTGTTTTTCTGATTTTATTCATCCTAACGCATGCAAAAGAGGGTGGGATTTGGACGCAGAGTGAGCGGCCCCCCCAAGCAGCAGAGGCCTGGGGACTGTGGCATAAGGTAATTCAGCTGGACAGTCTGATGTCACAAACCACCTGGGATTCTGTTCACCTGCTTCTCTGCTTGCTGTGCAATGTCGGCAGTGCCTGATCCTGGTGCCACTCAGTGCCACCAGGGTTCATGTTGGCCCTGGGGTGCAGACTGCTGAGGCTCTCTCTGAAGATGTGAGCCAGGCACGGGGCACTGCCATGCAGGACAGCTGACTCACCACCACTTCACAATGGCCAGGCCTGTGACCACAACAGCCCCACGGCATGGGTCAGGCTGTCTCAGCACAGGTGTGGCATGGGACACCACGGCAGCTCTCCCTGCAGCAGGGGCACTTGGGCTACAAGGGCAGGAACACCGTGCACGCTGGCAGAAGGAGGAGTAGGCTCCGAGCATGGAAGAGGGTCCACATCCCTGGGAGAGCAGTTGTCTGCACAGGAGGGACATGGGGCCAGCTGAGCTGTGCCTGCGCCCCTCCTACTGGCCACGGCTTGCTCAGCAGAGTGAATGGAGCCCTCATCAAGAGTGTCAGGTCATTGGGCACAGAGGCCCACACCTGTGATGCCTGCTACTCGAGAGGCTGAGCAGGGGGATGGCAAGTTCAAGGCCAGCCTGGGCAGCTTGGCAAGACCCTGTCTCAAAATAAAATAAAAAGGGCTGGGGATCTAGCTCAGTAGGAGAGCTTCCCTGGGTTCAAGCCCCAGAGCTTGTGACCCCCAAGACTCCCAAGGGTCCACACACATGCAGTGGAGTGAGCTCTCTGAGTTCACGGGTGCTGCAGCTGAGGGGCAGGCTGGACTTCGAGCTGCCGTCCTGAAACCCAAATGCAGAGCTACTGACTCTTGGCCCAGAACACGCCTGCTCCTGTGGGGTGCCCGGGACTGGGCCTGAGCCAGCCTCCCCCAGGCAGGCTGAGCCTCGGGCCCGTGGGAACTGGGTGCGGGGAGCTGGCTCCCCAGGGCCTGAGTGTGCATGTCCTGCAGTCCAGCCTCAGTGACTTCCTAGGTGGAGTGTTTATACCATGGAATTGGCAGGAAATATGGGCTGCACCAAGTACCCATATTCCCTACACAGGTGGTGGTTTGACATTTCCCACAAACCACCTGCCCTCTGTCTGCCTCTCCTGTGGGAGAGGTAAATCTGATGTGTGAGAGGCCTTAGGTCCCCTGACCCAGGGCCCCTGTCCACCATCCATGGGTCTCTGGTGCCTCCAGCAACCCTGGGTGGGGGCTCTGTGCAGGGAGGTGGCTGGGAGGTGGGAGGTACAGACAGGAGGAGCAGGAGCAGGCCTCGGTCGGCACGACTGTCAATGGTAGCTGCTGGCTAACCAATTTGTCCCTCTAGAGCTTTGGACATGGAACGTACGGTGTACCCAGGACAGGTGAGTGGTGTGGTCCCCTGTGACCATCTCAGCAAGGAGCCCCAGGAGAGGACGGGGCTCTTTGGAGGCTCCCTCTGCTCACCTGGAGCAAAGGCCTTTGTTTTTATGTTTTTGCAACAGGCATAGAGCAGCTAAGCATTACAGCATTCTGGGATCTATTTATTTATCCAGCATGCATTTATTAGGCACCCTCAGCGTGCCAGGCACCTGTGCTGGGCTTGGGCTACAGAGATGCCTAAGACAAGGTTCTTTTCTCACGACACACCACAGGACCGCCCTGGAGGGGGGTGAAACTGCTCTCCGAGCAGAAGGGAAAGGGTTTGATTTCGGCGAGGTGGAGAATGGAAGGTTGGGAGAGAGACTTTGGGGGAAGTGGCACTTGATCTGGGTCTTGAAGGATACCTAGGAGTTCGCTGGTGGGAGAAGAGGGAACCCTGTTTCCATCAGGAGACAGCAGGGTGCAGCCCTGAGACAAGTGGGAAGAGGAGCAGCTGGACACGCCGTGGTGGGGAGGTGGTGAAGGCAGGTGGATGCCAGGCCCCACAGCTGGCCCTCGTCCTGCAGCGAGAAGCTCTTGGATGGCTTGGAGGAAGGGTGACGAGACGGGATCTTCTTTCCCACTCTCCCTGTGCTTAGGCCCCTGTGGATTTAGACATGTACCAGAGCTCCTACATGGTGCACTTCCAGCCTTATGGGAAGCACAGATACTCCAGGGTCATGCCGGGAGAGGTAGGACAGTGTCACCACCTTGACACCCACTCAGCTCTCCACCCGAGTCACCCTGCTCATCCCCTATGAGTGCAGACCTTACACACTTACCAAAAACAACACCCAGTGCCAGGAAGCCTGGCTCAGAGGCCCTGTGTGTGCGCACGTGTGTGCCTGCATGTGTGTCTGCATGTGTGTGCCTGCATGTGTGTCTGCACCTATGTGTCTGCATGTGTGTGTGCACGTGTGTGTCTGCACGTGTGTGGGCACTGGTTAAAATGCACATCATATAGAAATTATGCACACAGCCAGGCACGGTGGTGCACACCTGTAATTCCAGCATCTCAGGAGGCTGAGGCAGGAGGACTGCAAGTTCAAAGCAAGCCTCAGCAACACGATGAGACCCTGTCTCAAAATAAAAAGTCAAAAATGCTGGGGGCATGGCTCAGTAGTCAGGCCCCCCTGGGTTCAGTCCCTCCTACTGCAAAACACAAACAAAAAAGCACCACGTAGGAAAGACTGTAAATTATACATGACACTGACAGAGGGAGCACCAAGTACCCACATCACCACCCAGGGCCCCCCACGCCCGCGCCTCCTGTGTAGCCCCAAGCCCTCCTTCCTGTGGGCCTCCTGTGCAGTGGCTTCTCCCTATGTGTGTCCCTTTGAACAAATGGCCTTTGAATGTTCTCACGTGTTGGCCTGGGCCACTCACACCCTCCCCTGGCCTTCATGACCGAGCGCCCTGGGTGACCTAGCAGGGGACTTCCCCTTTCCTCTGGGCACTTGTCCCACTCAGCCACACCTGGCCACCTGGCCTGTGGTGTTCACCCACCCAGAGGTGGGATGGGGGTCTGGGGGAGGCTGAGCCCCTTCCTCTCTCCAGCAGAGGCACCCATGTGTGTCCCCCCCAGTAGTGGATGGTCACTCCTGTCCCCTACCCTCTGGCTGTCGTGGGCATTGCCAGGCCTTTGACTGCTGCTCAGTGCGTGTGGTCGTGGTTCCAGTCACGACTGCAGATGGGCCGTCTCTTCCCCGGTGAGAGGTCGTGCCCTGTCGCAGGCTGTCCCCTGTTGCAGGCTGTCCCTTGTCGCTACCCAGCGGGCGCCAGGTGGGCTAGTGAACCTGCAGGGCACTCAGATGCGCCGGGCTGGCAGCCTCCGGGGGCCGCACAGCAGGAGTGGTCTCGGTCGCTGGTTTGTACTGGACATAACTGTCATGTGCACAGTGGTCAGAGTCACTATCATTCCTCTCCCGGGGCCTCTTTCCCCACCCAAAACAAGACCCAGACTGAGGGAGGTGTCGATCCACAGACGGGAACCCAGAGGGAGCAGAATGGCGGGCCACGCAGAGCCAGCAGCTGGGGCAGATGCACACGCAGATGTTCCCACGTCCACGAAACATTCTAGAAAGGCACGGACACCGGGGGCTTCCCTGGGGGAGCAAGCCTGAGTCCCACCTAAGCCCTCTGTCCCCCAGCAGCCCCTCTACCACTTATACCACCACGCAAACAGAGTTTAGAACTTTTAAAAATAAAGAAAAGCACTTTGTCTGGGGTGCATGGGGAGGCCGGGTGTCCCCCTCAGCCCTGGCCTGTGATCTGTCTCCACAGCAGGCCAAGCTCGATGCCCAGCTCCGCTACAAAGAGTTCTATAGGCCTGTGGCCAGCCCCAACCCCAAGCTGGAGGATGGGTTCCCCGCCTTCGAAAGACCCCTCATGACTGCCAGAGACCAGGGACTGCCTGGCTTCTTCCCTGCACAGGACTCTGGGGCCAGCGCGGAGTCGGAGTCGGGGTCGAGGTGCGTGCTGTCCAGCATCTGCCCCTGGGCGTACCCGGCTTCCCCCAACCTGTGTCTGGCCCAGGGCGACCCCAATAAGCTTCCCCAGATCACCCACTTCCCGGGCCTCCTGGAACCCTGGCACCAACCTGCTGCAGTGGAGGACAAAGGCTACCTTCTGCTGCCTGGCTGTCCCTGTCCTCGTCACCAAATGCTCAAGGTCCCCATCTTGTATCGGTGGGGGCCTCTCCTGCCATTTTACCAGTAGGAGTGGCAAGGACACCTGCCAAGGGCTGTTCCCAGGGCACGTGGGAACCCTGCACCCACTGCTTTGCCTTCGGGTACCCAGAGGGATATTGAAAATAAAAGGGACAGATTCCAACTAGACTGACAGTCCATGCATTCCTCCTGCTGCCCCTGCCCCAGGGCACAGCCTCCTCCCTGCAGAGGGAGGAGGGCCAGGGTGCGTGGAGAACTGAAATTGGCCACGTTTTGTTGTGGTTACGAGTCCTGCTCCACAGCTCCCTCCTGCTGTAGGTGCCTCCTCCCACCAGGTGGGGACCTGGTCCCCAGGCTCGTGTTACTGGCACGTGGTAGTAGGGCCTTTGGGGAGACACAGGGTTTGATGAGGTCATGGGGCTATGATGGCATCCGTGGCCTTACAAGAGGATGAGACCTGAGCATGCACACTTGCTGTCTCACCACCTCGCCAGAAGCCAGGCACCATATTCATGGACTTCCCCGCCTCCAGAACTTCTCTTATTTATAAGTTATCAGGCCTCTGGTATTTTCTTGTGGCAATAGAGAATAAGACTACGACATGAAGTGGGAGAAGGTGTGTTTCCCACAGTCACCCAGATATTGGGTGTGATTGTGAAACTGAGACGCTGTTGGAGAACTTTCCCCTCAACACTCCTGTGTTGTTTTCCCACCCTGTCCACCCTCGTAGTAATCCATGGAAACAGTTGAGAGGACACTGTTCATACTGTCCTTCTTGCTTGGTGGACTGTATGTAAAAACATATGTTCTGGGAAATAACTTGTTAGGCCAGTATATCACTGCAAACATCGTGGAGCGTATGTGTGCAAACTGGAGGTGTGTTGTGCTGAAGCTGTGACACCACTCGGCAATACGATCTTCTGGGAGTACCATGTGGGAGGCCATTGTTGATGGAAACCTCACCATGCAGCACACCACACATGCATGAGTCAGCTTGGGAACCGCCAAGTCGCTGTAACACAGAGCCCAAGTACACTGGCTTGACCCACATGCTCGATTCCCTTCTGAGCGCTGGGCTCTGGCCTCCAGGGCTGCATGTTCCTAAGGATGGCCTGCAACTTTGTCCACTGACTTCTATTTTCTACCGACTGACGCAGTCTTTGGGGAGAAAGCAGGATTGTGGGGACTCCACACTGGGTTTGAGTGGTGTCTGTCTGCCCCGTGCCTGCCTCGTGCCAGCTCTGGCCTGGTCCAGTAACTATCTCATGAGTAGATGTGGGAGGAGCCTGCCGTGGGCTGCACACCCTCTGAGTTCTCAGAACCACACTGTGCTCCTTGCCTGGGTTGCCGCTGAGGCAGAGAAGGGCCAGGAATTCTTCTAGGACGCCCAGAGCCATCCTGACACTGCTTGATTCCTCAGGCGAGCTTGAGCCTCAGACCCCAGGTCCCCCTGCTGCCATCTCAGCCAGGCTTCTTTCTCCCATGAAATCTCCCTGTGACCCTCCGTCTTCTCGTGGGTGAAGGGAGGGTAACTAGGACTGGGGATGCTGCTTATGGGCACAGGGCTCGCCAGGCATGCACTGGGCGGGGATGCACACCAACACCAAAACCAAAACCGAACACAAAACACGGGAGTGAAGACAGTTCCACCCGCCCCCAGGTACCAACAGCAACGGGCAGGAACACACTCGGGAGCGGCCATGGTTAGTGACGCCTCCCTCTCCCCCACTGGCTCTCGCTTCCTGCACTTGATGGCAGACCCTCCTGCTCAGCTGCCCGCCCACTGTGGCTGGCAGGCCACAGGAGGGGCTGGGGCTGGAAGGTGAGCTGACCCCTCCTGCTAGCCCATGCGCTCAGAGTTGACAGACTAGCCCCGGAGGGCATCGGCACCTCCTTTGTCTCTGGGACCTGGGAATTCTCATACCCACTTCAGAGGGGACACTCACCATGGGGTTGGGTGGGATTCACACTCTAGGTTTCTCTTGCAGGGCATCCTCTGGTAGGTTCAGCGGCCCCTGTAGCCGGTGGGTCTCAGGGTGCCCTGGTAAAAGGCTGACCCCTCAGCTCCACTGGCCACTGGAGGTGGAGACAGGGAGAGGGAGCCACCCTGGGAACCCACAGTTATCCAGGTCAGTGGAGGCGGAGCTCCTGGGAGGCAATGGTCAGTCCCACTAGAGATGAGCTTCCTACCAGGCGGGCTGGGTGCAAGGGCCGACTGGGTTCAAGCCCGAAGGAAGGAAACATCTCAACACCGCCGTTCTTAATAAATAGTGGCCAGAATGTGTCCCCTATCCCCGAACATCAAAACAGAGATACGTTCCTCAAATTCAAGGTGCCTGGACAGTAGTCCAACCCCTGAGGACAGGTAGAAACGGGGCGAGGCCGGAAGGAGACTTAGTGTTCAGAGGGAACAGGTGTGTAAGCAGGGAGGCAGGGAGGTGGAGTGGGGGGGGGACAGAGACAAGAGAGATTGGGAGAGGGAGGTGGAGACAGAGAGAGAGAGAGACGGGGGTGGAGACAGGGAGGGAGAGACAAGGGGGGGGAGAGACAGAGAGGGAGAGACAGGGAGGAAGAGAGGGAGGGAGGGAGAGAGAGAGAGGGAAGGAAAGAGACAGGGAGGCGGAGAGACGGGGTGAGAGACAGAGAGGGAGAGACAGGGAGGGAGAGATTGGGAGAGGGAGACAGGGAGGTGGAGACAGGGAGGGAGAGATCTGGAGAGGGATAGACTGGGAGGGGGAGAGACAGGGAGGGGAAGACAGGGAGGTGGAGACTGGGGAGGTGGAGAGACAGGGAGAGGGAGAGAGGGAGGGGGAGACAGGGAGAGGGAGACAGGGAGGGAGAGAGAGGGAGGTGGAAGCAGAAGATGGAGAGACAGAGAGGGAGAGACAGGGAGAGGGAGACAGGGGGTGGAGAGACAGGGAGAGGGAGAGGGAGAGACAGGGAGGGAGAGAGGGTAAGAGGGAGGTGGAGAGATGGGCGGTTGTGCAAAGTGTGAATGTGCTTAATATCACTGAAGGGCACATGTAAAATGACAAATTTTATGTTCTATGTATATATATATATATATATATATATATATATATATATATATATATGCAAACAAATAAAAGTTTTTTAATCTGAATAAAATCCAGAAACCACAAATTAAAAATTAAATATTTTGCCTACTTAGTTATCAAAACTTCTGCATAGAAAAAAAATACCTAAATAAAATCATAAAGCAAAAACTAGGAAGATATTTGCTACATTAATGCCAGAAATATCTGATTCCCTTCACACCAAGAGAAAGACTGTTGGTCATGATGGTGCACACCTGTGATCAGCTACCTGGGAGGCTGAGGCAGGAGATTGCAAGCTGAAGACCAGCCTCAGCCACCTAGCGAGACCCTGTCTCAAAATAAATAAAAATATACACATTGAAGGGCTGTTGGCATTCCTCACACCCCTGAGCCCGGTTCTGGCGAGGAGCTGGGGGCTGCTCAGTGGTGGGGCACTGGCCTAGCACACAAGGCCTGGCTTCCATCTCCAGTACCACAAAGAGAAAAAAAGGCCACCCTGCAGGAGCGTAAGTGACTATTTAACTCAACCATCTGCTCATTTGGCAAATATTTATCTCATGTTTATTTGACAGCAAATTCTAAGTGGCGGCCACCATGGCAACTTTAAAAATGGGAAAACAAAGAGATTCCATTCCATTTGGGGACAATGGCCATAAACGGCAGGAAAGCATGGCATGTTGGAAGGTCACAGTGAGCCTAAAGCCAGCAAGAGCAGGAGCTGTGGTAGAGGCCGGGACCCACCAGGCAGGTGTTGATGAGCAGAGTTGAGGAAGGGGAGGGACCTTCTCCAGGGACCAATGGCCAGGAGAGCAAAACCCCAGAGGGCCTGAGGGGGCGCAGGAGCAGAGGGCCCAGGCCCCTCGGGGCTTTCCAGGGACAGGTGAGCCACAGCAAAGCCTTTGACTCTGGGTAGATGGAGCCGGTGGAAGGCGGTGAGCAGAGGAGAGGCATGACCGGCTTCTGGTTTAGAAGGATCCATTGTCCACTGGGTGGAGAAAAGACCAGGGCAAAGGCAGCAGCAGGGCAGGGGACCAGCCAGTCTAGGCTCAGGTGGCCACGGCGTGGCCAGAGTGGGGAGAAAACAGACCTGAGGCCCGGAGTCGTCCCCCCCCTTGTGAACTTCTGCTTCCTTTGGTTTCAGTTACATGCAGCTGTGGTCATGGGAAATTCCAGACATGAGCACATCACAGACTTTAGATCTCATGCTTTCTGAGTAGTGTCAGGAAATCTCTGTCCTGGGAGGAATGTGAGTCGTCTTTCATCACCTCTGAATTGCCAGCACCACTGTCTTTGCTCTTTAGAGTCCACGTTAAGTAATGTAGGAGTCACCTGAATACAAGCACCAGGACACCTGACCGTCTATCTGATAACTAGACAGCCACTTAGGTGACTGTCAGGGAGGCAGCATATACAGCATGGATACACTGACAGGTGCAATGGAGTCAGACTGGGCAAAGAAGTGGGAACATAAATGGAAACACGTGGCTTTCAGATATATAGAAAGGACAACTTCAAAATCCAGCAAGTGTCACAATGAAGAGAAGTCACTTTACACTGTCAGATTAGAAGAGATTTAAAAGTCAGCAAAATAGTGCTGGGAAAGGCAGAGAAGCCAGCTCCCACCCACCATGGCCAGGACTTTAAATTCATACTGCCTTTCTGGATGGTGAATGCACTTACTCTCAGACAGGTGTTCTCCTCCAAATCTGCTTGGGAGAAGACGCACTTAACCCTGAATGCACATGTTCAGTGTTGTTATTTGAATTAGCCAAGGGCTGGCTGCAGTCCAGATGTCCATGTGCTGGCCTCAGGGTGCAGCTGTGAGCAGAACACAGGCAGCCATGTGTGCAGATGTGGACTTACTGCGTGAACTAGAAGCAAGGACGCACGGCACAGAGCTGCCTGTATTGTTAGGAACGGGTACACCTACCCCCCACTCCCCGTCTGAAAGCCCATACAGGACTGGCTGGGAAGGAGGGCGGGTTGAGGA